AAAATATTTTTTTTTAGCATCTCTAACATATTCTGTAACAGCCCTAAAGTCCAAAAGTCTAAACTCATATTAGGATATATACTAACCTAGAGATAAAAAACAGCTTGAAAGAAAGTACCACCTGAAGAAATGGAACAAAACCACGAACTTTTAAAATTAAAAACGTAACAGTACAGCACCTCCTTTAAATAGCACAGTTCCCTCTTGCAGTTGAAAACATCAAGGTTCAGATCATCTAGGGCACCAAAATATCTTTAATAACCTGGACTTGACTGCCCTTGCGATCGCTATCACAATTAAAACCTGGTTTAGCAGTTAGATAATCAGAGCTAAAGGCTCCTACAGAGCTAAAACTTCAATCCTATTAAAAGGACACTTTGATACGGAGCACGCGTACAGCTGCTCACGCAACACAGGCAAGGGAAAGTTCGGAAAGCAGAGAAACTGCACAGATACCAGATCCACAGGATGGAAAGAATCAGCTGGTATGGTATTTTAAGGCATAAAAATCACATGAAAAGAGCTATACTGTAGATGTAGCTAAAGCACAATTTTTTTTTTAATAATTCTTAACTAAATTGATAGATACAAAGAAAATGATTCCTTCCCTTTCAGACCTCACATAAGAACAGCCTGTTATCCATTTATATTTAGCTGTCAGGGGAAGCATTTGGCCTGCAGCTACATTCTGTCAGCTCAAAGTGGGAATTCTGACACCTAAAATGATAATTCGTGGAATTGAAACAGTAGCTCACACATGGAAGCGATTCACACCTTTATTCTACTTTGGCACTGAGTTTATTACAACTGAATTTACTATGAGATTCAAACTAATCAATTTCAGCATTTCCTGAAAGGAATTTCAAAAGTATTAACCCTTAAATGAAGGAAGCAAAGTCTCTTTTATGGCAGACCAAACAGAGACCAAATTCACATCATACACACTGAAGAGTGTACCCTGGTATATTCCACAGCAGTTTTGTCCTGCTCCGCTTTAAGGGAAAACCCTAAAAAATAACTTGAAATTATAATTACAGCTTATGCCAAAAAGTCCAAAGCGGTTCACTATTGGATGCACAGAAGAATTTTATATCGATTTGGGCTTATAACAATTTTTTTTAAAAGTATAGAAAATAAAACACAAAAGTTCTTGATCTGGCTGGGTTGTTTCTTTCAGTGAGGATAACAGCCTAGAACCTCATGCTGCCCTATATCACAGCCCTAAAAGAAAAGTGATCTGGGCAAATGAAGCAGCAACATCAAGAAAGTACATGGTAAAATAGGCAAGGAGCACATAAGAAAATAATCTCTGCCACAAAATCTTCTCTTTTCTGAACTAGTTAAAACAATATTTCTAATGATATTCCTGCATTTGGAAGCCAGAAACAACCTAAATAACCAAAGCAAGTAAACACCAACATATTATTTAAAGATAGTCATTACCTGCTATCTTATCTCACCAGGGAAGAAACTCTGCATTCCTGAAACCCTAACAATATGACAGACCAAAAAGAAAGGTTTTACTTTAGTTACCTACAGCATCAAAACTCAGCTCCAGAACTTACCACATCTCTCAAGAATGCTTGAGCATTCAAAGCAAACTGCATTAGGTGAACCTTCTTATTTCAGAGGAGAATTGCAAAGATCCACACTTCTTCACAAACATATAAAAACCACGGCAGAAAACAAGTCATGGGTTTGTTAATGATGCCGCTCAACACGCAGCCGCAAAGTGTCTGGATGTTGTGCTGAGAACTGGCACAGTTACCACCAACCACACTCAGCCACCTGGTCATGCTGCCAGGAAACCACTGCCACTGGCAGCTGGCTATGAAGGAGAGATTCCTCAGCAGTCACCCACAACCCCCAGCTTTGCCCCAGCACAACATCTCTGTTTTCTTTTTAAAATCACTCCTGATCCACATACCTAAAATTACCTTTTACTCAGAAATAACATTCCTTAATGTAAACAGCCGAGCCTATTGCTCCTCAAGGGTAACCATTTAATGGCTTTTTCTATTTCAGACTACAGGTCAGTTCACAATTTGTTTGGTCTGTACATCTACTACACTGCATTGAGAGTTAGTGGTTCTCTCCTACTTCTTTGGGTAATAGCTTCTGACCAAGAGGTTATATCACAAAAAGTACAGATTTTTTAAAATAAAAACCTAGGCCTGCTCAAAGAAGATACTTTGATAGCACTGATCCAGGAACTAGCACTCTCTTCACATAACTTCTGCAAAAGCAAGGTTCATTTGTTTCGGCAGGTACATTTTGAAAGTTGAGCCCCATTAATGCACCATCAGCTTCTACAAGAAATAAGATTATCTAGTGCCTAGAAAATCATTAAGAGAAATAAGCTTTTGAGTGTATTCCTCTTTTTTCCTACATCTAAAAGAAGCTACCAGATAAATAAAAAAGAAATAGGGGCCTTCAATGTCAAAAAAAAGTCAACCAACAGCATCTAGAAGCATTTCCTCATTCTCTGCTGATGCCACCACTCTTACTTACAACAAAGTATCGGGACTACAAAATAAGCACAGTCAGTGCCTTTCATACCTTTGAAAATGAACTAGCTACTCAGTGCCAGGACACACTGAAGGTCATAATATATTTAAAAACATCATTAAATCCTGCACACAGGATTGCTAAAGTGTGTTGAGTCAAACACCTCTGACAACTTTGGGGGTGTCAGACATCATCTTCTAGGTGACTACCTGGCTCAGGGAGCATCCTTAGCAGGGTAACAGTTAAGTTTCTCAAAAACATTTCTCCTCTTGAAAACCTGTTCTCCCACTCTCTTTTCTCTAGTCACAGCAACAAGAAGCTCCAGCTTCCTGTTCCGCTCAGACAGCTGGGTAAAACCTACAGCACTGTAGGAAAACTTCAGGTCCTCTCCTAGAAAAGAATCTGAGGTGTAGCCTCTTTAAGAGAGCATGACAACTTGCTTGATCTGAACACGAGTATAAAAACACAAAAGCTCCAATTTGTGTTCGATGTAACTGTTCATATCTTCCATAATACTGGTTTTGTGCCTCCCAACAGAGCACTGGTATCTTGGTCAAAATGATCAAAACTGAGAAATATATCAGCTACATTCAAAAAAGCACTTCAAACTCTGAGCCAACAGTATCAAACTCGGACATCACACACTCAGAGACCCGGTGTAAGGGAAGATGCAGATCTGGAAAGAGCTTCCAGGAATGAGTCTCAATTTAGGCCACTTTCTTCAGGCTAAACCGAATTCCTGCTTAATAAACTGTAGTACTATATAACAAAAACTACACACCTGAGTTCAACTGTTTCTCACTGCTCCATCAATCCACAAACTTCAACTTACTGCTTCTACCAAAAACACCATCTTGAGTTGAGATTTTTGTAACTCAAAAATCTTACTCTCTTTCTTCTCCCCCTCCCCCCCCCCATTTTTTTCTTCTTTTTTAAGGGCTAGTGTCCCAAAGCTTCTAAATGCAGGCTGCTGATTTCAGGAAGATTGTCCACAAAGCACTGAGGATTCTGTACTACAGTGTGCTAAATTTCCTTGCTTATAAGTTCCACAAGTAAAGCAGTACTCAAGCCACACACACAACTCAGTGTCTTTCATCAGCAAGTGAAGGGGAGGAGATTGGACTTGAAAAAACAATGGTCATTTAAAACAAGTCACAAATGCAACTGTAAAATGATATCTTGACACAAGTCAAATCAGCTGCTCCTCTTTATGTTCTTGCTGCAAAGCCCATGCCTCTACATCCCATTTGGCTTTACTGGGTAATCAAGAACAAAAGAAAAAAAAAAAAAAAAACTGAAACAAATTTCAATGGTTCAGTAACTCCCAAAACAACACTCTTAAATAGCTCATCTTAGAAACACACTACAAAAACTACAGTTGGCTTATCTGAAAAAGAAATTAGACAACTTCCTAATAAAAATCAATTACAGGTAACTTACACATTATGATTAACAGACAGTAGGAGTAACAGAATTTGAAATTACTTTGTAAGGAAGAGGACCACAGTAACATGTAATAGTAAAAAAAGAGAGATCTGGTTTATCCTTGAATTTTTTTGAGCTATATTCAACTCACAATACCACAAAAGAGCTGGAAAAACAGCTTTATTGATGTTCTCAGCCATTACATATTTTATTAAAGGCCATATAATTTAACTTAAGCCATTCCAGTTGCCAAGGGCACTCATTAGTAGAAAAGGGTTTCTTCAGCTCTTTCAAAAACTTCTTCCCAGTTCTCCAGGTCTCACGAGCTCCAGTCACCCTATAATCTGTAGGGTCTCAGAGAGAAATGTTTTCCTGGTGGGCAGCACTGGTAACCGAAGCTGAAGAAGCTTGTCATGGTGAGAGATTTTCAGTGCATGAGATGTCTGACACGCAGCTGTGAGTCTCCTCAAAGAGTCGAAGCTTCAGAACTGCCCTTTACCAAGTAAACGCCACAAAAGCGCAAATCAATTTGCTAGTGCAGGATGATGTGAGTAAGTTCTGCCTGTAATCACTTAACAGGAAAAGGTATCAGAAAATAATATAGTTCTTCAAAAAAACCTCAAAAAATAATAGTTTTTCAACTCAAAGAATCTCTACACTCAAGAGATGCCCAAGAGCAACCTGGAAGAACAAGTAGCAAGCAAATGTCATGGTCCTAGTGCCTCCTATCTATCTCAAACCAGGACGGAAAGCAAACAGCTTTTTTTTGCCACCAGTAGAAAGAAATGTGTCCCAACAATCTGTTGACTGCTTTTACAACTAGGAAAGAAACTGTACACTTGCCAAAGTTCACTGACCTAAGTACCTCAGAGAAGCAAAAGCCCAGAGCAATATTGTCAAATAACACATTTCAAGTGCGCTTTTGCACGAAACTTCACATTTTCACAACTAATTTCAAACAAAGAGGATACTACAAAGACAAAAGTACAATAATTAATTATAAAAGTATCCACCATTATACACGGTTTCCATCTAACTAATGACCCACAGAGGCCAAGCATGCTTACCTCTGTATTTGGTTGTAGCGCCTGTCCGTCCTGGGAGGCAGATGGTACTATTGCCCATGTAATGTTGGCACTGGCAGATGATAAGGAGCTGAGGGCACCATTTTTCAGTTGCTCTTGGGAGTGTGACTTGGGCCCAGGCCATCCCAGGATACCTTCTGAAGCAGAAAAGAGGTGTCAGCTTACAAGAGACAGATTACAGATTTCTTCCATTCACATAATCATTCTACTAATCTAAATGAACTGTTTTCTCTGCTTCCAGGCACAGTTTTACTTCAGTAACAAAAAATCATGCACTTACTGAATTAGCTTAAGGAATTTCTCAAATGATACCCCTGCATTTGGAAGCAAGAAACACCATAAATAACCAAAGTAAGCATCTCATACGCCAACTTAAATGTGATTATTTTTTAAAAGTCAATTAATGTTCCTCCTCCCACCAGACTGTATAACCCTTACGTATAATTCTATCTTGCAAACCTTGGTAATTAAGCAAGTATTCTCTACCTGCTATTTTCATAGATATGAAGTTAATCCAAGTAACCCCTCCATTTTTTTCTGCCTGAAATCAGAGTTTTAAGCCTAGCAGCTGTATTTTATTTCTGTCTGTACTACTAAAAGCTTTTGCTAGATTAAGTACTAAAGTGCTTCAGTGGTCCCAAGACGAAGAGATCTCACTAGAAAGATGCACATTAAATATGAATCAAACAGAACTTGACATCAGAACAACCCTTATTTCTGGGGGCACTTGATTTCCCAGATGGCTCTGTATTTAAGGATGCCATGACTGAAAGAAACATCAGCCAAGGCAACTGTACAGTTGTTCCTTCCTTACTGCTCTAAAATATAGGATCAACAGTCAAATCAGTAGCCCTCAGCACAGGACTCAAATTTCAGCTATTAATTACACGCTGCTATAAAATGCACAGATATGGACAAAAAAAAATTGCAGCTCTTCAGTCATTACCATAATTTGTATATGAATTAGTGCCACAGGGAGGATCTCCTCTCATCACTGACAAGTTTACAAGATGACACAAAGCGACACTAAGCACATTAAAGAACACGCGATTTCTCTTCTCCGTATCACCAGGGTTACCAGAGATTGCCTCCTAACTAAAGTAAATGGTTTGATATGGTGAGGCAATGCCATGCAGTATTACATTAACACTTCCATTATTAAAAAAATGGGCCACGAATCCTACAGCTGAACTCTTAGCAAATTCTAAAGATAAAACAGTTACAGAACATTCCTCTCATCTAAAAGGGCACTGAGTTATGATGACACGACAAAACTTCAGATCTACTTGCTTAGCATGCTTTTGTGGCACCATCTTTTGCTGAAGAAAGCATGAAGAAAGTATAAGTAAATAGTTAAGTATAAAATGATTTTCAAAGATCTAAATAATCAACAGGGAAAAACATCCAGCTTTTTTTTTTTTTTTTAAATGTATATTTCATACAATTACAAAAATCTCCCCTTGCCAAAAGAACATTTCTGTGGCTCTGCTGTCAGGAGATATCATCCATGTGAGAGAAAATGAAAGTATCAAAACAAAAGGTCATTTTCTTGGATTGACTCTACGTATCGGTCTACCCATGAGGAAGCCAACACATGCCCCCATTCCAAAGGTGGGAGATAAATCACTACTTGATGTTGGTATACACAGCAAAGAACGAAGACCACAGTAGTCATAGTATCCTCAGGAGTCATTGTTTCTCAGGTCTTGAGTAGTTTGCTGCTAGGGACAAAGGATAAACCCATATCCCTCAACACAAGCTATGACTGAGAGGATAATTTGAAGGTTGTTTTGGCAGATCCAAAATGGGCTCTCACTGCATGGGAAGAAGGAAGCTTTCCATCAGCATTAAAAGTCAACTGGAGAAATTAAAATAAAAATGTTGGTTTCTTGGAAGAAATTCACCTATCTGAAAACCATTAAATTTTTTTACTCTGTTTCATGTTAATTAGTACAGATTTCAAAGAGGAAAAAAGCAAATTAAAATAAATTCTTTTCACTTTTGAATAGCCCCAGTTTTATGGAGCGTGCCTATGCTTCTCCACACTTCATTACTTTGCAGTAACAGATCTCTATCAATTTTTCTGTTTCTCCCTGTCAAGCAAACAGCTTAATATTGGACTACTGCTGCTATTCTTGAATTAGAAAAACACTAAGAACAATTGAACTGATTTCTCTTTATGCCAGCCTTTGAAAATTTGATCACTTTCTTAGGTTATCCATTTTCTCTTTGCATACACAATGTATTTGGCCTTCACTGTAAACAGCTGCTTTTAAATTTTTTTTAATCTAATTTATGTAAATAAACACAATAAAAAGCTCCCATTTGAATAAATACCTTGCTTCAGGTGAAATTTTTAAGTGTGAACATTTACTTCACCATCACTTACATGTTTTTAAAAACACTATCCTAGTTTTCCTCTTCAGTACAAACACACTGTAAAAAAACCTAATTGCTTCATCTTTCTCTGCACACTTTAGAGTATCTTAGAGAAACAGAAACTTAGAATTAGGCAAGCATGTTTTTCCTCCTGTCCCAAGGGCAATGCTGCCCCCATAAAATAAGAAATCCTGTCAGCTTAATCAATTGTTAAACAGATCTTAAAAACACATTATGACCTAGTCAACACCAGCAGGATGCCAAGAGTTAAGGTATAAAGGATAATAAAACACATGTGTTCCCTGAACACCTCTCCATATCAGAAAAACTGTTTTGTTAAACTGTCTGCCTGGAACATGACTTCTTTGCAGAAGAGAAATATGCAGTAAAAGGTGTTAGTCATAGACCACAGGAATCTAAATAAATAAAAACTCATCTCTCTGAACAAGTTGATAAAATTCATGCCTAGTTTCAGAGGCCCATCAGGGAACCTTTGATGATCTTTAATCTACAAGTCTTACTCTGAGATGTCACCTTTCTTGTATCATCCCATGGGAGGTGCCATATACCTACTATAGCAGCCAACTTTTCAGGCAAAAGCAATGTATGATGAGAGAACTCATCAGAAATAATCTTAAAATCAACTAAGACTGAAAAACAATCTCTGTGTAGAAAGTGAAAGGCCACAACAACATGGCTCCCACTTCACTTACATTAGCAGTTTTCTAAAACATTTCAGTACAGTTTCTCAGCCTTTTTTTTTCAGTACATCCAAAATGTTCTTATCTCCACTAGTACAAATTATTCTTACCACAAAATAGTATGGGCAGCTGTTGTCCCTGCCAGATCAAATCAAATTCTTTTATTGGAATTTACTTTCCGCAGACTAAGTTGCCATCTGTAAATCCACTCTAATGGAGTTGCCATCTTTGCCAGTTTGTGGGACTCAAAAATTCCTATCACAAGTTCAATCCCTGTTCTTATAAAAACTTCAAGAAAAAAATATATAAAAACTAAACATATTATGAGAAAGTTTATCTTCAGAGTTGGATAAGAATAAAAAGAAACTGCTGTCATGCTTTTTTTTTAAGCCAGACTTTTTTTCCTCTGTTCTGAATCATAGCCAAAGACAGTTGACAGAAAGATAAATTCAAATCTATTTTGACACATTTCAGAGTTCTAAACGAATTCTCCAAAAAGGCAGTCACAAATGATACAAAAGCATTCACAGCTACATAGCTACTTTACTATTTGCTTTAAGCCTATGCAAAGCACTACACTAACTAAAACAAAACATCTGTTTCTGCAGTAAATGATGTAAATTCAGAAAGGACCTACCAAATACACAACTAGTAAAATCAGCCAGATCTCTTCTACCTGCACGGTGCTGGTTCTGTAGTTCCAGAAGTGAAAACTCAGGTCTGATTCCTCTGAAAGTTCAGTGCATATGTACATACAAAACAAAAGCTCTTATAGAAAATACCCAAAAATTAGATTCTTTCCCTCTTTCCCTCAACATAAATTTCCACTGTGACAAGCATGCAGCAGACAAATCCAAGGCACATGAGGATGCTTCTACATAAACAAAGTACAAACCCCAAACACAACCTACTATCCTTTCCCTACAGCAATGCTGTAGTTCACAAACACCTATTTCAGAGAGCACAACAGGCTGTATCCTGCATAAGTGCCCTCAGGAGCAATGTGTTTCCCTTCTACAGGTGCACACCACAGGAGGGAGGGAAATTCTCTCCAAAGAGAAGGCTTACAGGACATTTTTCCATTAGGCAATCTTGATAATCTTCTTTTGTTGGTCCTGATTTTCTAGGTACCTGATATACCTTCAAACTCACTCTTGCATGATAATTGATGCATGAAATATGCTTAATACCTACCTAAATTCTATAACAAAAACTTTTCTAATTTTAAGTCCTCTGATCTTGATTTACAGACTACCAAAAAAAAAATTCTGCTGGTACAATGGCAAACTAATGTCTATTGATAACACTCTTACAATATAGTGTAATTATATTCTAACAAATATCCCCTTAACAGTGCAATGGTATCCCTTGAATTAGTATTAGGTCTGGATTTCTTCCCCTGCTGGGGATGGATGCGACAGTTTAGTCTCTCCGCTGAATCCCTAAGGCACACTGAACCAGCAACAGCAAGTGGCAGCTGCCTATGTGCTTTTCAGATTAGAAAGACAACATTATATTTGCTAATGCTGTGCGGGGGCTAGAAAGTAATGTTATCTTCAAGTGGAAGAAGAACATGTAAGGAATAATGTATTTGCCTTTAGACAGAAGAGCAAATTGTTCTGGTTATTCTGGTGATGCAATTAAGGGAGAACTGACTGACCATGCCAAATTTAGTAAAATACACCAGTAACAACGAGTACGTTTTTCCCTGTCTTCTTTCCTCACAGCATTCGGAGGGCAGGAGATGGTTAAGCACAAACAAGGACTTATCTGCTCATTTTTCTCTCTTGTCATCTCAGCTGCAAGAGAATTTCTAGTTGTCATCTGTCACCAAATGGAAAGCATCTAGACTGTCTTTCCTGTCCATTTATTTTCTCAAAAAAGGCAGCAGTAGAGAATATAAAGTTCAAGTCTATCCCCCCACACACCTTCAGAATCATCTTCAATCCATTTGCCGCCACTGGAGCAAAAATTAGTAGCATTTGCATGTTCAAACAAACTTCAGAAAATCCATAGTAAGGATCAGTTTGGCTTTTGTTTTTAAAAATCTTCAGAAAAATGAAACATTCTATTCTATACTTTGGAAAAGTGGGCAAGGGAGAAACAGAAAAATATAGGAGGGAATTCCTATCAGGGAGATATTTATCCAGTAAATAAATGGCTAATGTGAAGCACAGGCTAAAAGAATGGATTGATCTGTGCATGCTACTACTACAAGAGAGAATTCTGTCTGCCAAAACACTAAAATAAAAAACCAGACTTAAAACTCAACATAAGCTGGTAAAGCTACATTAAAACAAAGATTCAAGTTTGCTCTGTTCACAGTTGGAAGGAAGAATGTTAACCACAGCAGTCAACAGGTTCTGGAGATAACTCCTCTGCCAAAGGCTACAGAGGTGGAAAAAAAATCACACCAGAACTTTTAAAGGCTGAAGTGAAGACAAAAGTTTCTTCTCCACATTTTTATTTTAGAAGGCACCTGCTACCTGTCTGCATGCCAAATGAACTCAAGCTCGTCACAAGGCACTAAATGCTGATCAGCAGATGTACGTGTACTGAAGTGGTGACATTCTTGGCCAAAAAAGTAAATCCTTGATGTTTTTCTCCCTCCTACGGAACAACCAAAATTCTAAAACCCAAAGAAACCTGTATGCAATTCCTCATCCTCAATTCACACACTATGGGTAACCAACACTTCCAGCTAATAATACACTTCTCCAGTATCTTTTTCAATGAAAGAAAAAAAAATTACAAAGAATTTAGCCAGTGATCAATGCACATACCTTTAATAATGACAGCTAGAAATTAATTTGGCATTATTTGACATTCTTTTGACTCAAAAGCAGAAACACAGACAGGATTTTGCTTCACTAACTGTTCTTGTTGATGGACTTCCAAAATTAAGCTTTAATAAAAAAGACAATGACAAAAACTCTTCTGTGAAGCTCTAGAGTAGAAGTAAAACACGTATCGACTAGACTTCAAAACAAGACTGAAGCCTTCAGTTTAATCTTCATGTCTGCTTGTAGGCTTGAGGTCTAAGACTGACAACTCGTGAGAAACATGAAGTGGAAAAATCGTGTCATCCTTAAATTATTCCATTACAAAGGATGCTATAAAAATATTTTAAGTCATGACCTACACAATTGCAGATCCTGGACAAGATTTCACTAGAGTGAATGCCAAGCTGCTTTCTTTCTACTCAAGTTACTGGAAAACAAAGCAATAAAAACATTTACATCAAAGAAAGGAGATGGGTTTTTTCCTGTTTAAAATAATAAAGGTCTGTAAATCTGTTTAAAATAGATGCTATTTAATTATAATTTCCATAAGTACATTCCATAAGTACTAGGTCAGAATTCTCAGTTGCATTAAGTCCTTGCTCTAGAAGTAGTAAGGTTGTGAGGCCTTCAGTGCACAGGGAAGTCAGCAAAACTTGTGTAATCAGCCAAAGACCTCAAGGACACAACCAGAGCAAAGGTACAGAGAACACAGAGAAAGCAGATATAGGTCTACTTTTAAAGCAGTTCTTTCTCTTTATGGCATAATAGTGAGAGCTTTTGATGCTGAAGGAAAGCAAACTCAACGCTAAGTCCAAACCACTCAAGCTAAGCCATTGATTGTTTCTCACTACCCTCATGAGCAGGATTGTGCTGCCTGGCTGCACCAGGCTGCTTTCATGAAGCATAGGCTAGAACCCACAGAGCAAGTTACTAAATTCCTATCTTGTCTCTCTCTTTAAAATTCTGTGGATCCTGGCCCACAATGCCTACTAGCATCTTTACACCATGCAGCAGATAATGAGACAGCACTAGGATGGAAGCATTAGGCAATAAATTGCACAGAGCCATGACATCTCACAGGAAAGGTGTTTGAGACTTTCTGCCAGAGGAGTATATGGCTTTTAAACTAACAGGAGTCATTTCCACCTGACAATGATAGTAAAGGTCATCTTTTGTTTGCACCTTCTGCGTACGAAATTAAAAAAATTCACCTGGAGGACACAGTCAAAATGAAATATATCATCTCTCAGAATTAAGAGTTTGCTAGAGGATTACTTAAAGGCATTAGCCTGAATAGGTATGAGTTTACGCAGCTTTGATGACTCTGAATCTCTTCCGACTCAGTAGAAACGTTAAGTCTATCAAAGTATGCCTGGAAAAGATTAAGTGTGTAAGAAAATCAGTAATCAAGACTTGTAGGCCAGGTTCTTTCAGGCAACTGTGTTGCATAACAAGGCCTAGGGAAAAAAAATCGTTTCACAGACTTTCAGTCAGGGAGAAGAGACTAAATATTTCAGCAGCTTTTAGTTCCCTTCTTATTTCTGTTTGTTTGGGTTTTTTTAACTTCTATACCAAAGAATAAGACCATGTACACACTAAAGAATTAACTGCTTGCATTCAGATTCTCACAGTTACACAAAAGATGCTGGTGTAAACCAGCAAAATTCAGTGCTACTGAATTTTGATTCCTGAAAGAATTCTTGTACAAGTCTGCCGTCTTAGAAGGAACAAACAAAAACACTTACTAAGTTTTATTAAGTATCTCAGTCTTGACTTTCCTTTCTTGTTTTTTTTTTATTCCTCCAAAAGACTGGGGATTCCCTTCCAGCAATTCCTAATGCTATATTTCCTTTTCTCTGTTCTTGTCCACATATCCTCAAAAATCATTACCAAGTCAAAATAGAGACACTAGTTTAACAGATTACTTGGACACAGATTCAAGGACAGGTACAACTCATCTATGTCTTGACAGTTTGCTTAGAACACATAGATGTGAGGAACAACCTTCAGGGACTTTGAAACTAGAAAGTGACTTTTCTTTGAAGGATGCTTTTCATCTTTGTTCCAAACCATTCTCTTTTGGAATGAAATTATATTAAAGAATTTAATTAAATGCACTTTATCATTAATATTTAGATAAGTGCAAGGGTTTTTTTCATTTTATACAAGAAAAACCAAAATACAGAAAACAAGACCTTTTTTAAAATTATGTTCCTTCATGAAACATCAAAATCTGGATGTGGGAAAGTCACAATATACCATAGCATAGGTGTCAAAAGTTTAAACACTGTTTTTTCCCAGAACCATTTTTACACCATTTGCCTACTTCTCAGCTAACCCTCTCACATTTGTCTTCTCTTCACAATGGGGATTGTGAGGAGGGTGTCTAACCTAGCAGTCTCAGCAGCCCTGAGGACATATCCTGCCCTGTAGTAAACCTACTGCAAGTAAAGACAGGTCAGGGTTTGCTGTGGAAGCACCTGAAATAAAACACAAAAACCACCCTATACCCAGAGTTCTATTGCTGCTGTTTTACTTACATCAACTCCTGCTCCTATTCTTAGGACCTGGTAGTGTAGATTATGCATGGGAAAATGCTAACCACCATTTCAGAAAACTAAAGGTCCAGCTTCCAATATTACAGACAGATGTAGGACTGGATGGACTGAAAAAATAGGGACTACATAGGGACTCAGAGGTTCATGCCTGCAGAGGTCAATGCAGAATCACACTGACATTTCAGGCTCATAAAAATTTGCCACAGGTTTGTTTTTTTTAAATAGCAGCATGGAAAACTCTTTGCTGATTTAAAGAAAACCACAGACTCAAATAAATCTACCTCAGTAGCATCCTTCCACATAGAAAACTAAAAAAACTACTTTCACTATAGCACTGCATAATATTACATGTATTTTTATCAAACAAATCTGTATTGAGATTTCAATCAAGAAAAAAGAAGGGGGAGGGTAAACTAGGGGAAGCAAAACAATCAAGACAGTTCCACACTGCCATTAAGAATATTGGTTAATCTACCTCTTCTTGATGCCAGCTTCTTTTTTGTGCTGCTCTCTTCAGGACCTGATTTCTCAAAGAAGATACAGGACAAGATCTTTTCCTTCTCTCTTCTGATTTTAATACATTTTGCATCTCTTTTTTTTAAGCAAAGAGTTATGATGCTTGACGCTGTAGCAGCTCACAAGTTGCTCACCTCAACCTGTCTCCCTGAGGAATGGGTAATTTTGCCCGCTTCAAATCATAATATAAAACCTCAAGATATATAAAATAATACCCAAGAGAGCTTGTGCTCACCTGATGACAGTGTTCTATTATGATGATGGCCCACTTGATGCATGCTTTGCTGTAATAGACTCAGGCATTCTCCAAGGCAGCTCAGGGTGGCAGCAGAGGTAGCTTTTAAAAGTAGCAAGTCCTGATCCAAGGCAGAAAGGGGCCCAGAACTTGGGAGAGCTTCAATGGCTTGTACAAGGTTCTTTTGTTGTCCTTCAACTTGGCTCATTATCTGTAAAGGTCCAAAAACATCTGCTGTCATAGGAAATATCACTGTGCAGCTGCTGAACTCTTATGGATTGAAATAGTGACTAAATGTGAAGAACTACCACAAATGGATGTTTAATGTTCTGATCCAAACACACCATATACTTACCCACAAAAACGATGGGCTTGAGACTACCAAAGGCCTGTAAAAATGTCAAGACTATGTTAGAGAAAATTGTCTCTTAAAATAGTAGGTTCACAGTAGGTTTAATAGTGACTCATACTTTCTGAAAGTCTTCATAGGGAAAAGTGTGAAAATTCTACTTCCTTCTCCATTATTAATTTAGGTTTAGATTTTCTTGCCTTTGTATGTGATCTGAGACACCCAAAGAAGTTACAGTGTCTCTCCTTCTTCCTTCCTACATGAAATATCTAATCACAGTTTATGAACAGACATCATTCCTTTCTCAAGCATCAGTAAGGAACTGTTTTTTACAAAATAGATAATTTGTACATTTACAGACATTACATAGGATGCAACTTAGAGTAGTTATTTAATATCAGATATGAATACCAGAGGGAGAAAGTTAACCTGTTTCTAGATTTGGACCATTCAGATGAAATTGGAGCTTGTATAGCAGACAAAAGCATTATTTGAGCAGGTTGCTCTTTAAGGAAATTGGCAAGTTTTCAAAATCCTAAAGCCAAAAGAAAAAGGAGATGTTCAAAACTTCTCTCTTCGTTTTTACAGCTTGTAGGAAATTGTACATGCACATGAGAAGCCTCTTATACTTACCTTGAAAAAACTTCCTGCAAAAAACTTACAAGTTTATACTTGAGGTATCCAAAGCTTTCAGAAAAATATATCTGAAGACATCATAATAAACAAAGATCCAAGCTCCATTTGCCCACATTACTATACTGTAAAAATGTATTATGAACTTCATGCCGTTTTTATTATCATTTTTATATTTTCAAAGTATAGTGTGCTTCCTGTAGCCTCCCTACTCTGTCATCAACAGACTGATTAAAAAAGTATATGTTGAGTGCACTGAAAAGCTACAAAGGAAGTTGAACTCAGAGATGCAAATAACCATTCTTGCAAAAAAAAGAGTAGAATTACATGAAAAGCTGTTGTTGCAGTTCATAAGGAAATCTAGACAAATGCCTTGAAGGTTACAATGACATTTTAATAGTCAACATTTAAAACAGAGGCCAAAGCTTCAATAGAAGCCACAGACAATTTCAATTCCCTTTGACAGAAAACAAGATCAGTCAGAAGGTGACACAGATGCCCTCAATAAGCAGCTTTAGGGAACCACTAGAATCCCAGGCAATGCTGTTTTCAAAAGTCACACACTGTACCTGAGCTCCACAGCATGGAAAGGGAGTTGCTTCAAAGCTAAAACAAAACCAAAAGCACCACAGACACACACTCATGCAAATATTCCTCCCTCAGGAAAAGAGAACAAGGAGGTAAATTGACAAAACAACTAGGAGAAAAAAGATGACCATCTCCCTGTAAGATTAAATAATATAATTCTATGGGAAACTGCTTCTCTCCTTTTCCTATCCTGCATAAGAGTGTGACATTGAAAAGCTGTCACTCATGTTTCACAGCAACAGAAATTTTCTGTTTTCATTTCTAAGTGACTATTTCCCTACTTTCCTTTTTTTTTTTTTTTTTTTTTCTTGTGAGAAACAGCCTATATTTTCAAGATTTGCTTCCACAGGAAATAAAATCAAAGATAAAATTTCCAAAACTTCAAATATTTCAATTATCCCCTCCCCCTTAATAAAGGACAACTATATTCTTCTGCAGATAAGACAGGAGAATAAGATAAACTGGTCAGAGAACTGGGGAAACATTTGGAAAATTAACTGAATGTTTGCCCTTATCACCTAGCCCAAAACTTTACAAGCTTTTATCAGCCATATTTTTCCTGAATTAGGTGAAATTTCAATAAAATCAATGATTTATTCAAACCAAGGTGTTGCTCTGAGCCTTACTGCTCTGTAGCTGACCTGAGGCAGCTTTAAAGCAGCCTTTTGATTTATCCTTTCCAGGCTACTTCGTTTCATGTTACAGCTGTGATACCAGCAGCTGTTCTACAGACCTGACACAGCAGAAGACAAGGCAAATTCTGTGTAGCATTCAAATTATTAGAACTTGCTGAACATTTATTGCTCAAGCACTGATCAAAACCATACTGTTTAAGGTGCTGAATGACCAGAACAAAGATGAAGAATAACCCCTATTCTAGAGAGTGACAGAACAACTCTGTGGTCAAAAGAGTAAAGATATAACATATATTACTGAAATAACTGGATGACAGCTCAAACGAGTGCCTCCTTTGGGCATCCATTTGCTCTGCATAGGGTCCTCCATGGGCTGCAGGTGGATATCTGCTTATTGTAGACTTCAGTGGACTGTACGAGGACCAGCCTGCCTCACCACAGTCTTCACCATGGGCTGCAGGGGAATCTCTGCTCCACCATCTGGAGTACCACCTTCCCCTCCTTCTTCACTGACCTTGGTGTCTGCAGTTGCTTCTCTCACATATTCTCACTCCTCTCTTCTCTGGCTTCCATTGAGCAGCAGTTATCTCCCCCTTCTTAAATCTGTTATCCCAGAGCCACTACCACCATGACTGATGGGCTCGGCCTCGGCCAGCAGCAGATCTTGGAGCTGGCTGGCATTGGTGCTGTCAGACATAGGGAAGCTTCTGGCAGCTTCTCACAGAAGCCACCTCTGTAGCCTTTCTGCTGCCAAAACCTTCCTGTGCAAACCCAATACAATTCTTCTGAATGACACTACACTCAAAGAAACCTGTCATCCAATGACACCTTCACAAGTGATTGAATGCAACAGGAAACATCTCTGATGTTTTCCTTGGTAGGTCACCCTCTCCCTACCACTTGCTCCAAACCAGTCAATTCACAGCTTCCGTTGCTGCCTGCTTCCTCCTCTTCCAAGTTATCCTGAAATCCTGGGTGATTGCTTTCCCTACTTGCCACAGCAACTGCTAACTACTCCTTCACAGGTGGATCTTCATATTGTGATCCTGGATCTTCCTATTGTGAACACAGAGCCAACCACTATGGAAGAGACCAAACACTTACGAGACAAGATCCCAATGAAAAGGTAAGTAGAAACTACTCCAACTCTCAGAGTCACGGCCACAGTATGTGGAAGATTAGCAGAAAAAGCCATGAGATACTTTAGGTTTGCAAAGAAATGTTTCAGACATAATAAAAAGAAAGAACATCCTTTCATACAGTAAATAAACTAAAATTTTTTCTTACAAAATAATTTAGCTAGTAATAATGAAAAATTGACGTGCTGTTTTCTGTGCTAAGAGAAAAAAATACAGTAATTCAATATTTTTTTTAAGTACTAAATGATATATTAATCTTTTCCATGTGGAGAAACCATTTACAAAACCTGAATGTCATTTTTGATTTAAGGATTCAATTTGTTGCTGAGACTCCCAATTATTAAATATAATAAGCTCTCTATTCAAGATTTTTCCTCCCATCTTTCAACAAAAATAAATAGAAACTTCAAAGGAAGAAAACTGAATAGCCATACCTGAATGTAAGAGCACACAACTGCTCTTGACATGATTTTACTTTAAATGCTCTTGTTATCCAGACTCCAGGACTAACGGCCCTAAGTCTGTTTGTCAAGGCCAGGTGTGTATTATGATAACCAGAACATCTTTCTAGAATTATTGATCCTACAGTATTTCACCCAATTAACACAGTGCATCACAACAACCTAAAGCAAACACCAACTTCATGCCTTCTATACAACTACCCAAACCACAGCTGCCTCAGGGACATCTCCCGAGACAATGACTTCAAGTTCCCCAAAGCAAAGGAAGAACCATATCAGCCACATTAACTCAAAGGGTAAACAGACATTCTTCCCTTTGTCACACAGGTCATGTGGAGCTGGCCGAGAAAATAAGTAGTGTCACCAATCCTTCTATACAATGATTTAAATAATTCAGATAATCCTACCCTTCTTTTAGAATATAAAATGTGAAGATTTTCCAGACCGCCCCAGCCACAACCTGATGCATACATGAGCAATTTCAATTTTAATTTAGTTTGAATTTTAGTATTGATCACATGTATTGAATCCTTTTATAGTCGGCATTAAGATATGCCTACCCATGTGTACAAAAAAAATCCAAAACACTCCAGAGAAAAAGGAAAACGTGCTTTTAGCACTGAAAACCTACAGAAATTCTGTATCATCAAGCTCTCTGTGATGTGCTAGCAATCATTTATCAAGGGGACATTTTGCTTTATCAGTTAACTCTTTTTCGCTACGGTAGTGATCTCTGCATACAAGCAGTAGCAGCACATTGTCGGATGACTTATCTCTAGGCAATTCCTCTGGAAGATTTAATGGAGTGATTTTTACTTCTAAATCCTTTTCATTACTGACTGCATGCAAGTTGAAAACAATTATTTAAAACGGGAAAATAAACAACACAATAAAAAATGCTTATATGAAAAAAATAGAGCATCTGTGAAAATAAACAGTTGGGTGGAAAAATCTTTTAAAAATTTAAATAGTAATAGAAAGGTAACATGCATCACTTCCTTGCAACTAAGTCAAGCTGTTCTTGTGAGAAGTTTACTGCTTTCAAAGGCTGGGAAAGAGCCAATTTACTGCTTCGTGCTTTTTTGGCAGGATTTGGTTAATTGGTTGCTTTGTTTGGGTTTTTTTTAATGAAGTGTAATATGAAAACACAGTCTCTCTCTCACACACGGAGGCACACACACACACATTTTCTGGAAATACTAGTTTCTTGCTTTTTAGGCAATCGTACTAGAAAAAAAACATTTCACAAAGCACTGGGAGAGAACAGGAGGTGAGACCAGCTTTTCAAACTACCCTAGAGTAATATCACAAGTGATATGTATGAGGATCTTGGCTCTCATTGTTAAACATGCATATACCACAGGGGGTTGGGTTTTTTTCTTTTATTTAATATAAAGCACTGCTTTTCTTAAAAGTAAAAGCAAATGAAGGACAGAAGAGAAAAAGTGCACACACAAAAAATAAAAAACCTTCTAAGCCATTGTAAACCCGATACACTGGGTTGCCAATGTGAACCTAATACACTCATCAATTCTGACCTTGAGCAAGAACTCCTCCTGCAATTTTGACCTGTATTTCATCAAC